AGTGAGTGAGAGAGTGAGTCCGTGAGAGAGTGAGACAGTGAGTGAGTGAGACAGCGAGTGAGAGAGTGAGTGAGTCAGTGAGAGAGTGAGACAGTGACTGAGTCAGTGAGAGAGTGAGTCAGTGAGAGAGTGAGACAGCGAGTATGAATAGTTTCTTATGATCCAAAAAATGGAATGCCTTTGCATAGTTAGTAGCACACAAGTAAACTGTTTTCTGCACTATAGCCCCTGAGTAAAAAAAACATTCCGAATTGCTGATAGTCTATTATTCTTTTGTATAAAATTGACTGATGCTATTTGATTCACATACACTCATTTATATTTAGTTATAAAAGAAATACTGTGATGGAGGGGAGATGAAAAAGAGGGAGATAGAAGCAAACATTTTTTTTAAATATGCATATAAAGGATAAGAGCAAAATTTGTTTTCTACCATCATGTTTTAAGACAAGAATTCCGTTCCTTGTGTTTGGGCATCTGAGCTCCCGAAGACTTGGCCGTGCTCTAGTAGAGCGCCTGCATGATGGTATGCAAAAAACCCAACAAAAACAGTGCTAGAAAATAATGGGTTCTTTTATTAAGTAAAAATATCAAAATGTGCAGTTATTCTTTCTCCACCTATCCTCTAATGCACTTTAGAAGGTAATGCTTCCATCACTAACTCTTTCCCAAGGACTTGTATGCTCTCAGACTTACAACACATCAAAATGAGAGTTTGGGTATTCCTGAGGGACTCAAATCATGCCCCATATTAAAAGTCCTTTGAGTTTGGGGAAGAAACAAAATTACAGGACAAAATTCAGTCTGAGGGTTGGGTGGGATAGGGGTTTCCAGTGAAAATGTCATAGACAATCCTGGCTACCCTTGAAGAATGAGCAGATACATTGTCATACAGGGAAAAGAGAAAACCCCTTAGTACAATTTCTTTGACCTTTTTCTTACCACGGTAGTTTTCAATCTCCTTAAAACTTCTACATAGTAAGCCTCTGTGATTGTCCTGTATCCATCAAGAAAATCTATCAAGATTACTCCTCTGGAATCCCCAAAGACAGTTGCCATGACTTTTGAGTTGACAGACATCTCTGTCTAGAATTTAATTGACACAACGGATATTCTCAGAAGCCACTATTTTGATTGGACTTCTTTGTAAAGGCACCATAACAAGACTAACAAAAATGTATTCATGGAAAAACTTGACTACAGTCATTTTCTGATCATAAAGACATCTAAACATATTTTGTTTGGAATAAATTCATGAATGTGTCAACTAGAGCCCCAGCAGCAATTCTTTTAAGAACATGCTATTATATATGAGGAGACATTTGAAACAGCAGGATGGTGCCCTGGCCCTGGCTTCTGTTGTCGTCCCTGTTACAGTTTTCTGAGCTGTCTGAACGCTTCATCTCCCTGTCCCATGATAGATGAGGTAAGACCCAGCTTACTTGGAACCATTAGCTGCAAGAACCACTTCATCTTTATTTTTTTTGAAGCTTTGTTAACCATGATTTACATACCATAGAGCTCACTGATTTAAAGCTTAAAATTAAATGGTTTTCAGAGTATTTGTATAACTATCACCATAATTTTAATTTAGAGAATTCCCATTATCCAAATAAAGAAGCCTTGTGCTCATTAGCAGCTACTCTTCATCCCTCCCCTCCAGCCCTTAACCACCACATTGTTGTACTTTCTATCTCTATAAATTTACCTAGTCTGAATATTTTATTACTATTGCAGTTTTCCATTGTCTTTAAACTTCTGACGTTTAAATACAAATACATAATACCAATATTTGACTGGTTTCTTTGACTTAGCAGAATGTCTTTTGATGTGAATCCTTGTTGCCACAGGTGCAGTTCTGAGTTCCATTTTATTGCTGAATAACAACTCTGTTATAGGGAAGTGCGCTACATTGTGTTTAATCATCAGTTCATTTAAACAGTTTTGGCTATATAGGAGTGCAATTGCTGGATCATAGAATACTCTTTATTTAAGATTTTGATGAATTCCCAAATTTTTCTAAAGTGGTTACACCATTTGACATTCTTATCAGTAATGAGTGGTTAGCTTATTTGTTTTTTGTTTTCTTTACCTTCAGGGTCTTATATCTCTTGTCTGGTATGCTAAGAAACTGTAACCAGCAGGTCTCTAAAAGAAATTTTCATTTAGTTCCGTGTTCCACAAAGTGGGTGATATCACCCCTTGTGAGGGGGCGGGGCGGGCTCTGGATTGATCCAAGGGGTGTGCAAAAGCAGATACCTACATTTTGTGGGCTATAGTACATAAGGTATTCATTGGAAGGGGGGCTCTAGGTAATATTTTTTTCCAGAAAGGAGTAGTAAGCCATGTGTGTTTTGGGCACTTATGATTTGATGGGAGAAATTTTGTTCTTGGTTCCACCTCTGAAAAAAGAACTTTTAATTATGCCCCTTACATTTATCTTGTTTGCAAAGAATGATGAACAGGGCTATATTGTCTTACCAACGGAATTTTTTTTAGATAGGGTAGAGAGTGAGATTGTACATCTTGGCATTATTAACTGACTAATACCCAGCCCTTCTTCAATGCTAAGATCAAGTCATAAAATATCTAGAAGACATCATTGGCATCTGTGTTATTAAAAACAACCGTTCTGTTCATTGGCCCCTCCCCTTCACATCCTCTTTCCCATAGCTGCTGTCTCTCTCGTACACATCTCCTTTCCTTCTATACTCTCACTGTATGTTTGCATTTTCCTTTGGAAACATATAGACTTTAGTGATTTTTTAACGGTATTTGTCAGCACACACGCCAACCATGAAGGCTTTTCTCTTCTGTATCTAGTAAGATCTTTACAAAGAAGAGTAGTTGGTTGATGCTTGTGCAGCATATGCTAAAACTCTCTCTCCTAAAATGACTTCTTAAAAAAAGAACTTTAAAGGACTATCTATTGATACTTCACAAGATCCCCTACATTGCATAGCAGATGCAATTTCTGAATGCATCACACACAGAGACAAAGGATGACCATTCCTAACTTTTTTCCTATTAGGTCTATATCTAGAGTAATGTATAATTTTGAAAGTTTGAAAAAATTGTGTACCTCTTACATGAAATGTGGGAGAAGAGGCAACATAATATACAGACTGACCCACACGTTTATTTTGTGTGATCCAAATTGTCGTTCAGCTTGCTGCACTTCACTGGTCTTAGAACTTATTAACGTTGGTGAGACACCCAGAAACTGTAATTTCATATCCCAAGATTCTGGGGGTGTCCACAGCATCATGTGCCTTCATAATCATTTTTCAGAATGTTTAAGTTAAGAAATAATGAGACACTTGGCTTATGGCTCTTTCTACTTGATAGATGTGCTTATAGTTACATCATAGGATAGAGTTGTGTAGGTTTATTTGCAATAGTGATAAACATTTTAAAACATTCACCAAAAAATGAAGTAGACTTAAGCAAAGAAAAAATATATTTATGCATAGCAGCCCATTATTAAAGTATAGAAAAGCTGCAAAAAAGAATCAGTGGAAGAAATGATTGTTTGTATTATTTCCAAAGTAGTCAGTTTGCTTTACAATAAACCTAATTGTAGATGAAAGGTCAACTGGGGTAGGGGACATGAAAAGAAAGTGACTTGGTGGTGTTATTTTGGAGTTAGATTTATTATCAGTTTAGAGCCCATGGGTTAGTGAGTAAATTAAAATTTCATTCCAACCACATATATTTTCATTTAAAAGCAAAAGTGGGGAGAATATGAGAAAGTATTCAGTACAATGGAAAATGCACACAAACTGGGGAAAGTAAACATCGGTTTAGAAGTGCCATAAAGCAAAATACAGATGGACCAAGAAAGTCAATTAAGTCGCTGCATATAAAACGCATAGGAAGGGTTGAAGGAAGGGTTTTCCCTATTTCTTTACCAAGGTCCCAGAACCTCCTCTCAGCCACATCTTGCACTGATAACTCCGGGACAGAGTCCCAGTACCACTGAAGTCCACCAAGTACGTATATATATTTTTACTGAATATTAAATCCAAAGCTATTTCTCAAGTTGGCGCTTTCTTCACCATTCCTCTCGGGCCTGGTGCCTGAATATTGGGCACAATCGGATTCAGGAACTTGAACTCGCTGGCCTCTGAGCCTCCCGTCAGACACACCTCATACTGGTAGCTCTGGGACAGGGTGCCCGTGCCACTCACGCCAACGAAGTGTCCTGGGACGTGTCCCTCAGGCACCGAACAGCGACCCTCCCAGGCGGCCCTCCTCCTCCTGCACAGTCTCAGGGCCACAAACAGGAGCACGGAGCAGAGGAAGAGCGAAGACACCGAGGCCAACGCAATGACCAGGTAGACCGTGAGCCCGTCGGCCTGCGCCTGGTCGCGGGCGCCCTCGGGCCGCGCCA